CTCAAACTCGTAGGTGCAAGCAATCCTCCCACCTTGGCCTCCCAAAGTGTTGGGATTACAGGAGCGAGACACTGAGCCTGGCCTGAACTGAATGCTTAATAACCTGTACTTTTAATTTATAATAAGTTCCTCGATGCATTCAAATAAAGCCATGGATAACCTAGAGTTGTTGTAGATATTATTGTCAAACAGTTAAATGTAGCTCCCAATTACTTGCTTTAGTAAGCACTTCGACACAGTTGACTACAGATGATAAGTTGATTATTTGTGATGCCACTACATTCCATTTCCCATTGACAAGTGGCTCAACATTGCATTTGAGTTTAAGGATATGACCAAATAAACTCCTATAATAAAGCCTATATCTGAAAGTCTGTTCCCTGGAATAACTCCTAGAAAACCATTTTCTGTATTAGTCAGGATTCAGTGAAGAAATGGAAGCCATAGGAGTTATTTTTTTCAATATAAAATTTATTAATTTTCATTGTGGTAAAATTCACATAATAAAATTTATCATCTTAACTATTTTCAAGTGTTCAGTTCAAGTGGTATGAAATACATTCATAGTGCTGTGCAACCATCACCACCATCCATCTCCAGAACTTTTCATTTTGTAAAACTGAAACTCTGCACCCATTAAACAGTAACTCTGGCCAGGCATGGTGGCTCACACCTGTAATCCCAGCACTTTGGGAGTCTGAGGTAGGCGGGTCACAAGGTCGGAGTTCAACACCAGCCTGGCCAATATGGTAAAACTCCATCTCTACTAAAAATACAAAAATTACCCACGCGTGGTGGCAGGCACCTGTAGTCCCAGCTGCTCAGGAGACTGAGGCAGGAGAATCACTTGAACTCGGGAGGCAGAGGTTGCCATGAGCTGAGATCATACCACTATACGCCAGCCTGGCCGACAGAGCAAGACTACGTCTCAAAAGAAAAGAAAATAAAAGAAACAAACCCCGTAACTCCTCATTTCCCCTCCCCCCCAGTCCCTGGCAACTGCCATCCTACTTTCTGTCTCTATGATTTTTGACTGTCCTAACAGTGATTCTACTATGTGATAAGTAGAATCACATAGTATTTGTCTTTTGGTAGCTGGCTTATTTCACTTCGCGTAACATCCTCAATGTTCATCCATGTTGTAGCATGTGTCAGGATTTCTTCCTTTTTAAGACTGAATAATATTCCATTGTAGGTATATACCACACTTTGCTTATCTGTTCATTTGTCAGTGTACACTTGTGTTGTTTCCACATTTTAGCTATTTTGAATAATGCTGCTATGAACACAGGCATGACAAAAACAAATATCTCTTCTTTGACACCCTGCTTCTGACTCTGAATATATACCCAGAAGTGGAATGCTGGATCGTATGGTAATTCTATAATTTTTTGAGGAACTGCCATATCATAGGAGTTATCTTTTTTGTTTTTTAAGATGGGGTCTCACACTGTTGTCCAGGTTAGAGTGCAGTGGCATGATTACAGTTCACTGCAACCTCTGCCTCCCAGGCTCAAGTGATCCTCCCACCTCAGCTGTGACCACAGGTGCACAATACCACACCTGGCTAATTTTTTGTTTTTGTTTTTGGTAGAGGCAGGGTTTTGCTATGTTGCCTAGGCTGGCCTCAAACTCCTGGGCTCAAACAATCCACCCGCCTTGGCCTCCCAAAGTACTGGGATTTCTGGTATGAGCCACTCCTTCCCCCTGGCCAATCTTAACTGACAAAATTAATATAAAGAATTATTAGAGATATCACAGGTATTGGAGAATTAAAAAGGGAAAATGAAACAAAGAAGTAGTGACCATAGGAAGTAGAGGAAATAAAAGGTCAAGATTGAGATTATTGGGACCAAATACTTGAAGGAGGAGCCCAGCTAATTTTCGTATTTATAGTAGAGACTGGGTTTCACCATGTTAGCCAGGCTGGTCTCGAACTCCCGACCTCAGGTGATCCGCCCGCCTTGGCCTCCCAAAGTGCTGAGATTACAGGCATGAGCCACCGTGCTCAGCCCGGAACAATTTCTTTATAACCAGCACAGTTAGGCAATCATTGTTCAGATTACATACAACGACATGAGGGAGAAGCAAGAGTCTAGGACATTTCACAGGTTTCTAGCTTTAGTAACTACATGAATAGTGGAGAGAGGGGTAGAATGTATGTGGAGTAGAGAAGAGCTAGTTTGTAGGGGTTGTAAATATACCAACCCCAACAGAGTTGATATACTTAGAGAGCCTGGACTCTAATATAGCACAACTCAAAATGTGGCCTCTTTACTGGCCAATCTGCAATTTTTTAAAACATTGTAGTAAAATACACATGAAGTAAAATTTTCCATTTTAACTTTTTTTGAGACAGGGTCTCCCTCTGTCACCCAGGCTGCAGTGCAATGGCATGATCATAGTTCACTGCAGCCTCCTGGGCTCAATCAATACTCCCACCTCAGCCTCCTGAGTAGCTGGGACCACAGGCAGGTGCCATCACTCTTGGCTAATTTTTAAAATTTTTTACAGAGATGAGATTTCCCTATCTTGCCCAGGCTGGTCTTAAACTCCTGGGCTCAAGCGATCATCCCTCCTCAGCCTCCAAAAGTGCTGGGATTACAGGCAGGAGCCACCATGCTCAGCCCTTTTTAACAGTTTTTAAGCATACAGTTCAGTGGCATTAAGTGCATTCACATTTGTTGTGCAACCATCACCACTGTCTCCAGATTTTTTTCATCATCCTAAACTGAAACTCTGTACCCTTTAAACACGAACTCCACCCTCCAGGCCCTGATAATCACTATTCTACTTTTAGTCTCTATGAATTTGTCTATTCTAGGTACTCCATATAAGTAGAATCATACAATATTTGTCCTTTTGTGCCTAGCTTATTTCACTTAGCATAATATCTTCAAAGTTTATCCATGTTGTAGCATGAGTCAGAGTTGCATTCCTTTTTGAGGCTGAGTAATATTTCATTGTACATTTATTCCACATTTTGTGCAATTTGTTATCAGTCCTCAACAAGATAAAAGCTTGTCACAGAATGTAAAGCAACTGTGTCACTGAACACCATGTTTAGTTCCCTCAGCATTTTTGTAGGAAGATTTTCTCTTTCTCAATGAAGGAAGCAGAATGCTGATTTACATTCTGGAGTGAGGTCATTATCTCACTTCATCCTAGTACTTCTAATAGCACTGGTATAGTAAGTATTTAGAGATATAGCTTTGGACTGGAGATTTGAGAGTCATCCTACAAAAGAAAAAAAAATTCCAAACCTGTACTAGGATGCAATCTTTTTGCATGATGTAATTGAAAGCTTCCTTCTAGGAAGAAATTAGGATTTCTTGTAAAATGCCTACACAAATGTCTAATAAATTAATGGGACTAAAACTTCTAAGAAACCAGTCATCCACCCACTTACTTTTCAGTTAAGAGTCCAGTGAGTGACTTACCAAATACTCTTTTCGTTTCTGTATCTAATGGAACAATAACTTTATAAACAATCTTTTTTTTTTTTTTTTTTTTTTTGAGACAGGATCTCGCTCTGTCACCCAGGCTAGAGTGCAGTGGTATAATCACAGTTCACTGTAGCCTTAACCTCCCAGGCTTAAGGGATCTCCCGCCTCAGCCTCCCGAGTAGCTGGGACCATACTTGCATGCCTCCATGCCTGGCTAATTTAAAAAAAAAAAAAAAATTGTAGAGATGAGGTTTCCCTATGTTTCCCATGCTGATCTCAAACTCCTGGGCTGAACCATCCTCCCCTCTTGGCCTCCTGAAGTGCTGAGATTACATGCGTGGGCCATCGTTCCTGGTCAACAATCTCTTTTCCTGTAAAATATCCCTATCAAAAGTGAATATTTGAATTGAACTTTTTAAAGGATGATAGTAAAAACAAAAAGAGGTAAAATGATGACTCTCATGCAGATATGAAATGAATATGGGGCAAATATTTTTATTTATTTACTAATTAATGAGTAGTTAAATAATGAAAAAGATGTTACAATCAATGCAAAGGGAAACCCAAAACCCAGAAAACTATATAAATCCATCAGAAATGCTGGAATCATTTTTGTTTGTTTGTTTTTGAGACAGTCTCGCTCTGTTGCCCAGGCTGGAGTGCAGTGGTGCCATCTTGGCTCACTGCAAGCTCTGCCTCTCCAGTTCACGCCATTCTCCTGCCTCAGCATCCCAAGTAGCTGGGACTATAGGTGCCCGCCATCACGCCCAGCTAATTTTTTGTATTTTTAGTAGAGATGGGGTTTCACCGTGTTAGCTAGGATGGTCTCAATCTCCTGACCTCATGATCCGCCCACCTCAACCTCCCAAAGTACTGGGATTACAGGCGTAAAGCCACCGGTCCCAGCCTTTTTTTTGTTGTTTTTTGAGGCAGAGTCTTGCTCTGTCGCCCAGGCTGGAGTGCAGCCGTGCAACCTCGGCTCACTGCAACTTCCACCTCCCAAGTTCAAGCAATTATCCTGCCTCAGCCTCCCAGGTGTGTGGGATTACAGGCGTGAGCCATTAGGTCTTGCTAATTTTTGCATTTTTAGTAGAGATGGGGTTTCACCATGTTGGCCAGGTTGGTCTTGAACTCCTGACCTCAGGTGATCCACAGCCTCAGCTTCCCAAAGTGCTGGGATTACAGGTGTGTGCCACCACACCCAGCCTCTCTCTTTCTTTCCTTCTCTCTTTCCCCCAACCCCACCTCTGACAGGGTCTTGCTCTGTTGCCCTGGCTGCAGTGCAGTGGTGCCATCATACATCACTGTAACCTCAAACTCCTAGGCTCAAGCAATCCTCCCACCTCAGCCTCCCTAGTAGCTGGGACTACAGGTGCACATCACTATGCCCCATTAATTAAAGTTTTTTTTGTAGAGATGGGGTCTTGCTATGTTGCTCAGGCTGGGCTCAAGCAATCCCCCTGCTTTGGCTTCCCAAAGTGCAGGGATTATAGGCATGAGCCTCTACACCCCACCTGAAATCAATGTTCTGAATAGAACAGTGAGAAAGGGAAGTCAACAGAAACTTCTCAGAACAGAATTTATTTGTATATCTAAAGACAATAATTATTTATGTTACTCTTAGTTTTCTACAAGTTAGAGTCCATCTCTTCAGAATTGTTAAATACCTCAAAGACAATGAAAGGTATAAACCCCACAGAATCTGATAAGCTGGAAGGGGATACTTAAAACAATGCAGTTTTCCATTTCTCAATAATCTTTTGGTCCATTTCAAAGTCTTTCAGACTTTCCCTCATATGCTACTATAGGCCTGCTCTTATACTATAGGCCTTGCTATGAGATGGTAATGAAATTTCCCTATAGGTTCATAGCAAAATTATCCGAAAAACTTTAACACTTGGCTTCTAACATTGGCTGCTGATTTAGGGGAGTCAAGCAGAAGTCTTGAAAGTAGGTATTTTCACTGAATTGGCATGTTTGTTATGGCACCCCATCCTTAACTAGACAAAGAACCCTCTGCTTTACCCTCTCCAGGGAATCAGTCCTGAGTCTTGCACCAGGCAGTCATTTGGGAGCTGGGGAAGGAATCCAGTGTTCTAATGCTTCTGAAATAGACTTTGAACCAACTGTCCAATTTAAGCCCCCACTTTATCCCTGCTTCTGGGGGTACCTGGTGCTGCCAATTCTTGAACTTTTGGTGGTTTTCTGGGGCAAATCTGGCTTGCTTTTGGCCATCCCCTTTGATAGAGGGCAAGTCTGCTAATTCAGTTCGCACTATCCTGCTTTCCAGCTTCCAAAATGGTAATAATTTGATCTCCTCTACTGTTCTCTGACAGACGGATTATATAAACAGACAGTAGCCAGACCATATATGACAACAGAACTCTGACCCACAACCTCTGCAATCGGCCAGCCTGGGCAGGGCTTGGTCAATGAGTCAGTTGCCCTATATTTTGCCCCTATTTTCAACACAGGACCAACCAGAGAAAGCCAAACCATTACACAAGAAGCCCAGCTTCTAGTTAGCCCACCTGCAGTTTCCCCATGACAGTGACCTCCAGTCAGAGTATACTGAAGCCTTCCCCTTTTTTCACTACAGCATAAAGTGTTTCCACTCCCTGCCCGCCTTCAAGTCTCACCAAAGTATGGTGGCATGTTGGCGGACTCCCAATGACAGCAGCCTCGGCATAAATATCCTCTCTTCTTACCTGAGTGGTTTTCATCATTTTCCTTATCTTTTTGATTTTGAAGTTTTATGTTAAAGTGCTTTTTTAAACCATTGTTCTACAGGGATTTTAGAAGGAGGTGGGTTGTGTGTGGTTCAATCTATCGGCTTTAACTGGAGATCTCTTTCTGTGTTCTTTCCTCTGTGACTAGATGTCAGCTGTCCATCCCCTACCCTCCCCCGGCAACAGGCCCAGAAGTCACCTTTGCATTTTCCTCTTGCAAACCTGGTTGCAAAATCCAGTATGTATTTAAATTCCTCCAAAGAATCCGCTGGATCAAAAGGATTAGAGAATGACATAGACTTTGCTGAACCTTACCTGTGGAAGATAGAAGATGAAGTTATATAACATTCACAATTTAAGCTATTTAACATTCACAAACCCCACCCCGCCCAGCCTGTCCCCTTTTTAGAAACATTACCAAAAATCCCATACAAAAACTTTTGCTTATAACTAGCCAGAACTTAGTCACATGGCCACACCTACTCCTAATGAAGACAGAAAATTGTATTTTGTAAATGCAATTGTTTAATGCCCCCGACTAAGTGGAAAAGGAGAATGGATGATAGGTGGGCAACTAGCACTTCTGGCCACAGTTCCTCATGAATTTTCTGCATATGATGTCCCATGAATCCCTAGCCCAGTGCTTGACATTAAGTTGTCCTTGGAATGGATAAACAAATGAATAAAACATTTCAGATAGTTCACACAATAACCTTTTTTTCCAAAAAAAAAAAAAAAACATTAATTGACTTTATTTCTAGAGCAGTTTTAGGTTTATGGAAAATTTGAGGCTGGGCGCAGTGGCTCACGCCTGTAATCTCAGCACTTTGGGAGGCCGAGGCAGGCGGATCATGAATCAGAAGATCAAGACCATCCTGGCTAACATGGTGAAACCCCGTCTCTACTAAAAATACAAAAAATTAGCCAGGCATAGTGGCGGGCGCCTGTAGTCCCAGCTACTTGGGAGGCTGAGACAGGAGAATGACGTGAACCCGCTAGGCCGAGCTTGCAGTGAGCCCAGATCTGCCACTGCACTCCAGCCTGAGCGACAGAGCGAGACTCTGTCTCAAAAAAAAGAAAAAAAAAATTGAACAGAATGTGCAGAGAGCTCCCACATACGTCCCCTCACCACATGCAGTTTCATCTATTATTGACATATTGCATGGGTATTGTACATTTGCTACAAAATGATACATTATTAGCCAAATAGTTTACATTAGAGTTCACTCATCATGTTGCACAGTTCCATAGGTTTTGACAAATGCATAATGTCATGTATCCACCATTACTGTATCACACAGAATAGTTTCACTGGCCTAAAAATCCCCTTGCTCCAGCTATATTCTGCCTTTCCTCCTCCCCTGGAATCCCTGGCAACCATTGATCTTTTTACTACCTCTACAGCTTTGCCTTTTCCAGAATATCATATTGTAGGAACCATACAGTATGTAGCCATTTCAGACTGACCTCTTTCACTTAGCAATATACATTTAAGATTTCTCCATATTATTTTTTTGTGGCTTGATAACTTATTTCTTTTTAGTTCTGAATAATATTCCATGGTAAGGATGTACCAGTTTGGTTATTCTTTTACCTACTGAAAGACATCTTTGTTGTTTCCAGCTTATAAATAAACCTGCTGTCAACATTCATGTGCAAGTTTATGTGTGGTCCTAAGTTTTCAACTCATTTCGGTAAATACCCAAAGGTGTGACTGCTGGATTGCATGCTGAGACTATCTTTACCTTTATAGGAAACTACCAAACTGTCTTCAGAAGTGGCTATACCATTTTGTATTCCCAACAGCAATGAATGAGAGTTCCTGTTGCTCCACATCCTTGGCAGAATTTGCTGTAGGCAGTGTTTTGCATTTTAGCCATTCTTTAACCTCCACCCCCGAGGCTCAAGCGATCCTCCCACATCTACCTCCCGAGTAGCTGGGATCACAGGTGTGTGCCACCATGCCCAGCTAATTTTTGTATTTTGGGTAGCGATGGAGTTTTACCATGTTGCCCAGGGTGGTCTCAAACTCCTGGGCTCAAGTGATCCACATGCCTAAGCCTCCCAAAGTGCTGGGATTACAGGCATAATTTCCAAGTACGTGGAGTTTTAAAAATAATCTTTTCTTTTTTTTCTTTTCTTTTCCTCCCCTCCCCTCCCCTCCCCTTCTCCGTCTCCCTCTTCTTCTCCCTCTCTCTCTCTCTTTTTTGAGAGTCTCGCTCTGTTACCCATGCTGGAATGCAGTGACATGATCTTGGCTTACTGCAACCTCCGCCTCCCAAGTTCAAGCAGTTCTCCTGCCTCAGCCTCCCAAGTAGCTGGGATTACAGGCACTGGCCACTGTCCCTGGCTAATTTTTGTATTTTTTGTAGAAACAGGGTTTCACCATGTTGGCCAGGCTGGTCTTGAACTCCTTACCTCAGGTGATCCACCCGCCTTGGCCTCCTGAAGTGCTGGGGTTACAGGCATGAGACACTGCACCCAGCCTCATTATTGATTTCTAACTTAATTGCAATGTAGCCAGAGAATGTGAGCTATATGATAGCAATTTTTTACAATTTGTAAAAAGTGCTCAATAACCTAAAATGTTTTTAAATTTTTTATTTGATTTTAAAAATAGCAACCTGTTAGATAATCAATGGCCTAAATCAAAATTAATTTTCTTAAATCTTCTCTGAATATGTGAAAAGTATATTTGAGAACAATTTGTGTTCTCAAATCGTTTGGTACATAGTTCTTTTCTTTGTCTTCCTCAAGAACGGAGGGTTCTATACATAGTTCTACACATGGTCCTTAGAAAAGGTTAATTAATTATGTCAGAGACATTCCCATAATGACTGGTGATTCTTGGATGTCTTCTCATATTTAAAAGTGAGAAACTGTATTTTATTTTATTTTTTATTTATTTATTTTTTTTTGAGACGGAGTCTCGCTCTGTCACCCAGGCTGGAGTGCAGTGGCCGGATCTCAGCTCACTGCAAGCTCCGCCTCCCGGGTTCACGCCATTCTCCAGCCTCAGCCTCCCGAGTAGCTGGGACTACAGGCGCCCGCCGCCTCGCCCGGCTAGTTTTTTGTATTTCTTAATAGAGACGGGGTTTCACCGTGTTAGCCAGGATGGTCTCGATCTCCTGACCTCGTGATCCGCCCGTCTCGGCCTCCCAAAGTGCTGGGATTACAGGCTTGAGCCACCGCGCCCGCCGAGAAACTGTATTTTAAAAGCTGATTAGAAGTTCTGTATGCACAGAGGAGTCTTGTTGACTGGGCCTTAATGTAGAGTGATTGCTTGTGAACCCAGACAGTTCTTTATGAAATCCTCCAAATGTCAACACTCTGTTATTCTTTTTGTTTTTAATTTTTAATTTTTGTGGGCACACAGTAGATGTATACATTTATGGGGTACATGAGATATTTTGATACAAGCATACACTGTATCTGCCATTCTCATCTAATTTCTATCTTTTAAAATTATATCTTTTTTTTTAGTTTGCTATTATGTCCTTTCCTGTTCTTTCTTCTTTGGGTTAACAAACTTTTCACTCCTTTACTATCATTTTAAAAAAACTCTTTTATCGAAGTATATATGAAACCAGAAAAGTGCTCACAAATATAACCTGAACACACATGTAAAGCTGCACTCAGATTAAGAAACAGAACATTATCAGCACTTTGTGAGCCTCCTCACGTTCCCTTCCAGTTATTACTACCCTAAGATGAATCACTATATACAGTGACTTCTAACAGCAGGGATATTTGGGTAGTTTCCAGTTTGGGGCTGTTGAAAGTATGGGTATGAGCTTTTTTATGTACATGTCCTTTTGGTGAATATATGCAGACATTTCAGTTTCATATTTATAACTAGGAGTAAAATTGTTTTTTTGTTGTTTTTGATTTTGAGACAGGGTCTAGCTCTGTCACCTATGCTGGACTGCAGTGGTGCAATTACAACTCACTGCAGTCTCAAACTCCAGGGATCAAGAGGTCCTTCTGCCTATGCCTCTGGAGTAGCTGGGACTACAGGTGTGCACCATGATGCCCAGAACTTTGGGAGGCCGAGGTGGGAGGATCGCTTGAGGCCAGGAGTTCAAGACCAGCCTGGGCAACACAGTGAAAATCCCTAAAGTGCTGGGATTACACGTTGAGCCACTGTGCCCCACCTAGGGGTGAAATTGTTGGAACAAAGGCTTTTTCATGTATTCAACTTCAGTTGATACCGCCAAACAGTTTAACAAAGTGATTGCATCAATTTATGCTCCCTTCAGGAGCATATAAGAGCTGTGGTTGCTCCACAATCTTGCCAATACTTGATATTTTCTGTGGTTTTCATTTAGCTATATCTCATTGTGGTTTTAATTTGCATTTCCTCTTTATCCTTTGTTTTTTAAGGGTTTCAAGATGGACAGATAAAAATTCAGGGAGTTAATCACCTATAATAGCTGGAAATTTCCCCCATGGATACTCCTTCAGTGGAATTTAAAACATTTGCCTCTGTATTGAAGACAATGTAGTATAAAGGATGGGGCCACATGCTTTGCAATCAGACGTATGAGGTTTGATTCCTAACTCCAGTGCTTACTTGTGAATTACCTTGAAGAAGTTATTTAACCTTTTTCCATTTTATGTAAAATGGCACTAATAATAGTACTGCCTCATAGGGTTGTTATGGGGATTAAAAGAGAAAAAATAAGTAAAATGCTTTGCAAAGCTCCTAGCAACAGGTGAGCACAAGGTCAACAAATGGTAGCTATTATTACACCTTATATTGGTTATTTATGCACATCTCATTTCTCCTTCTGTTTTACACATTCCATGAGAAAGGAGAAACATGCATGTAGCAAACATTAACTGCCTCACATATAATTGCTAATGAAGACTAATTGGATGAACGATTTAATATATAAACAGAAGATATTGTGATTATCGCTATAAAAGATGGCATAGGTTGGGCATTCACGCCTGTAATCCCAGCACTTTGGGAGGCTGAGCTGTGAGGATCGATTGAGCCCAGGAGTTCGAGACCAGCCTAGGCAACGTAGCGGGCCAGTCTCCACCAAAAAAAAAAGGTGCATAAAATTATTATAGTGGCTATAGGATAATGTGCACTAATGAAGACTACATTATTTAAATACACTGTCTTTCCTTCTATTTACTGTTATTGTTTAACAGAAAAACAGTACACAGGATACTAAAGAAAGAAAATTCGATGTCCCATATTACATTTGTGAGAGTTCAGCCAAAACCAAAACCAAAACCCAAAACACAAAGCCAAAACCAAAACACAAACATACCATCCCAGAAACAAATGCGTCACTTTTCTGAAGACGTTAAGCCCTTCCAATTTTAACAGATTCTTTGTTCAACAGAGGAGACAGACTGGGTAGGCATCACCTGCCCCAGGAGCTTCCGTACAAGATGGCGTTGCCCGTTCCCAGACCCCAGCTGGGATTACGTCCTCCAGGCCTGCCGCAGGAACGGAAGTGGTTACGGCCCTAGTGAATCCGGGTGGGTGCGCGCTGGCGGCCGCACAGGTTCCAGCACTTTACCGTGAGCCCGCTGCAGGTGTGCGGCCCAGTCCGAGACAGCAGGTAAGTGAGGCTCAGAGGCCGGCGAGGCCTTGCACCGGAATTGTGCGCGGGGCAGAGGGGCTTCCAGTGCAGACCAAGAGGGGTCGTGGGGCGGGGGATATTACCGTGTACGGGGGTGACATTGCGGGGACCCCGCTGTCCCGGAGCGAGTTGGCCCTGCCCCTCTCCCCGCCCCTCAGCGTGGCCCCCTCGCCCCCGTCGCCCACGGCGGGGCGGTTCAGCACCCAAGTGCGCAAGGAGGGCCTCAAGCCTGCCCAAGTCCTCCCACGCTCTCCTCGGGCCTCTCCTTCCGACCCCCTTACCCTCTCTCTGGGAGCCCCTACCAGACCTTCGAGGCTGCGTGTCCCAATCAGCTAAAAAGGAGGCCCCGCCCGCGGCACCTGGTAGCTCCTCGGGCGCTGCGAGTTCGACGCGGCCACTGCTGCTGTTTTCTCCCCTGGATGCGTGTGAGCCGCCACCCCCGCTACCATCCCTGTCCTCTCAGACCACACCCTGCTCTGGGTCTTGCCGGGAGCCACCTCTTTGGTTTTTCACATCCCTGGGATGGATCAAAACTAAGAACCTTAATCAATACTTATTATAAAATTGACACCTGCTCCTTAAAATACAAACAAACCCATCCCTCGATAAGCTTTTGATAGGCTTTTGATATGATTACAACATTCAAACTCCTTTATATACCCTCTCCTCAAAAACACAAAATTGAAATTATACTTTTTTTTTTAGTTCTGTTACAAGGATAGAAGGAATTGAAAGGTTTTGTTAGTCATAGGAATTAGAAAGTGCGGGTCGGGGCGCAGGGAGGAAGATGGATTAAATTTGGTAAAGTTGAGCTTGTTTTAAAAATGTATTTTAAAAATATTCTAGTTATAGTCTGTGCATAAAGTCTTGTAACAAAATTATGTAACAATTTTAAACAAGACAAATCTTTCTTAGCTTTATGTTCTCCTTGGTGGTGAGGGTGGGGAGTGTGGAAGACAGATCCTCTTTGATTTTTTTTTCCGTCTCCTCCCTTTCTTCTTTACCAGTCCCTTTCTCACAAAATAAGAACTGTTGTCAGTTTGTGTGTATTTTTCTTTGCATTTATTTGACAAGTGTGTGCACGTTATGATATATGTTTGTAAGATTTCGCCTTAAACTTTTACAAATATGTATGTTTTATGCATTACATAACTTGACGTTTTATGCTTAAAAACGGGTCTTGGAATTTTTTCTTTGTCAGTATGTAGAGATCTACCTATTCTTTCTACTTGCCCTGTAAATTCCATGGTTATGTAAGATTCCATAGATTGTTTCCAGTTTTTCCTTGTCAGACGCAGTGTGGCGGAGAACATCCTTCCCACACACCTCTGTGCCCATGTGAGCATTTCTCAAGGATGGGTACCCGCAGGTGGAATTGCTGGATGGGAGAGTATGGGGATTTAGGAATGCCAAACTGCTACCCACGGTGTATAATAATTTCCTCCGTGCTCTCTCTCTTTTTTGATACAGAGTCTTGCTCTATTGCCTATGTTGGAGTGCAGTGGCGTGATCTCGGCTCGCTGCAGCCTCTGCCTCCCAGGTTCAAGCGATTCTCCTGCCTCAGCCTCCCGAGTAGCTGAGATTACAGGCACCTGCTCCCACACCCGGTTAATTTTTGTATTTTTAGTAGAGATGGGGTTTCACCATGTTGACCAGGCTGGTCTCGAACTCCTGACCTCGAGTGATCCACCCGCCTCGGCCTCCCAAAGTGTTGGGATTACAGGTGTGAGACACCGTGCCCAGCCCCCCATGCTCTTTCGAACATTTAATGGTATCAATCTTACTTATTTTTGCCAATCTGATGGATGGAAAAGTGATTTCTCATTGCTGTTTTAATTTGCATTCCCCTGATTACTGTTGAGATTGAACATCTTCATGATTGTCGTCCATTTGTATTTCCTCTTTTGAGAAACATCTCTTTCTATTGGATTGTCTTTTCCTTACTGATTTATAGTAGTATTTTATATGTTCTGGATTTTGATCTTTTGTTATTTATATATGTTTATAATATTTACTCCCTGCTTATTGCTTTTTTAAGTTGTTGCTTGTCTTTTAACTATATGGCATCTTTGTTGAAACAAAGTTTAAAATTTTAGGTTTTAATTTATCAGTCTGTTCTGTGTGTGTTTGTATTTTGTGGCTATCATTCCCAATCTGAGTGGTTCTTAAATGGCAAAGATTTTTGCTCTCAGGGTTATTTGGCAATGTCTGTAGATGTTTTTTGTTTGTTCCACTAGGATGGTGCTGCTATTGGTTATCTAGTGAGTAAAAGTGAGGGGTGCTGCTAAACATCCTACAGTGCATGGGAAACATCCTATAGCACATGGGAAAGCTTCCCACAACAAAGAATTTCACCAGCCAAAAATGTCAATTGTGCTGAAGTTGAAAAATCCTCCTCTACTTTTAGAGAGAGGAGGGTTTTCTCCTAAAGCTCTGTTTTCTCCTAGAAGTTCTTCTTGTGGGAATAGTTTTTTTCCTTTAATTCCTCTGGAATTGTACGTGTATAATTGTTGTTTTCCAAGCACTGTCACCTTGAATAGTCAGTCCATTCTTGAGCCATTGATCTGAAATGCCACACTTACCATGTACTAATTTCTTTTTTTTCTTTTTAATTTTTATTTGTAGAGATAGAGATGAGGTCTTGCTATATTGCTCAGGCTGGTCTCAAACTCCTGGCCTCAGGAGATTCTCCCACCTCAGCCTCCCAAAGTTCTGGGATTACAGACAGGAGCCACCTCACCTGGCCACATGTACTCATTTATCATACAGGGTCTGTTTCTAGACTGTCTTCTGTTCTATGGTATACTTTTCTATTTGCTGGACCAATACCACAACGTCCTATATATAACATATATAACTGTATGTTATATGTTGACATCTAATAGGGTAAATACTCCATCATGATTATTATTTTATTGGAAGTCATATACTATATCAGCTCGTGTCCTCTCATTTAAAAAACAATATTTTTGGTTATTATTAGTTTATTTTCCAGATTAATTTTAGAGTCAGCTTGTCAATTTTTTTTTCTTTTAAGAGTTGGGGAGCTGGGCGCGGTGGCTCACGCCTGTAATCCCAGCACTTTGGGTGGCCGACGCAGGTGGATCACCAGGTCAGAAGTTTGAGACCAGCCTGACCAACATGGTGAAACCCCATCTCTACTAAAAATACAAAAATTAGCCGGGCATGGTGGCGTGCGCCTGTAATCCCAGCTACTCAGGAGGCTGAGGCAGGAAAATCACTTGAACCCAGGAGGCGGAGGTTGCAGTTAGCTGAAATTGCGCCACTGCCTTCCAGCCTGGGCAACAGAGTGAGACTCCATCTCAAAAAAAAAAAAAAGAGAGAGAGATGAGATCTCACTTCGTCACCCAGCTGGAGTGCAATGGCAGCCTTGACCTCCTGGGCTCAAGTGATCCTCCTGCCTCAGCCCCCCAAGTAGCTGGGACTACAGGTGTGCACCACCACACCTGGCTAATTTTTGTATTACTTATAGAGATGAGGTTTCACCATGTTGCCCAGGTTCGTCTTGAACTCCTGGGTTCAAGTGACACGCCCACCTTGGCCTTCCAAAATGCTGGGATTACAGGCGTGAATCACCACACCTGGCCCCAAGTCATTTTTTAATGGCTTTATTGAGATGTAATTCACACACCATATAATTCATTATTCAAAGTGTACAATTTGAGGATTTTAGTGTATTCATAGAGTTGTGCAAATATCACCATAGTCTAATTTTACAACATTTTTATCACCCCCAAAATAAACCCATACCCATTAGCAGTCACTCCCTATCCCTGACTCCAGTAAGACCCCAGCCCTAAGCAACCACTAATATTTCTGTCTTTCTAGATCTGGGTGTTTTGTGTAAATGGAATCATACAATGTGTAGTCTTTTGTGACTGGCTGCTTTAACTTAGGATAATGTACTCAAGATTTTTCCATTCTATAGCATGTTTCAGTATTCATTCCTTTTTATTACTGAATGAAATTTCATCCTATGGTATATTTGTTTTGTAGGGCTGCGGTCAAAGTAACACAAACTGGTGGCTTAAAACAACAGAAGTTTATTCTCTTGCAGTTAAGGAAGCTAGAAGTCCAAAATTAAGGTGTCAGGAAGGGTCATGCTCTTCCTGAAGGCTCTAGGGGAGAATCCTACCTTGCCTCTTCCTAGTTTCTCGTGGTTGTTGGCAATCCTTGACATTTCTTGGTTTGCAGTTGCATAACTCCAGTCTCTGCCTCTGTCTTCAAATGGTCACCTTCCCTGTGTGTCTGTCTGCATATTGGATTTGCTCAATGTAAACCTGTTTCTTCTCCTCCTCCTGTAAGGACACCAGTCGTATTTGATTAAAGGCCCACCCTACTTCAGTATGACTTCATGTTAACTTGATTACTTCTTTGAAGACTCTATTTCCAAATAAGGTCACATTCACAGGTATTGGAAGTTAGACCTTCAACATATCTTTTTGGGGAATATAATTCAACTCATAACATACGGATATGCTACGTTTTATTTATCTGTTCATCAACTAATTGACATTTGGGGTGTTTCCACTTTTGGGCTGTTATGAATAGCTATGGACTTTAGTACGGGCATGTGTTTTCATTTCCCTTGGGTATATACCTGCCAGTGGAATTGCTAGGTCATATAACTGCCAGACTGTGTTCCAGAGCAGCTGTACCATTTGACATTCCCACCAACAATGCATGAGATTTCTAATTTCTCCACATTATTGCCAGCACTTGTCTTTTTTTTTTTTTTTTGAGAGACAGGGTCTTACTCTGTTGACCAGGCTGGAGTACAGTGGAGTGATCAAAGCTTCCTGCAGCCTCAAACTCCTGAGCTCAAGCAGTCCTCTTGCCTCAGCCTCCCAAGTGGCTAAATCTATAGGCACATTACCACTCCTGGCGAATTAATTTTTTTTGTTTGTTTTTATTTGTAAAGGCAGAGTCTCACTATGTTGCCCAGGCTGGTCTCAAACTCCTGGCCTCAAGTGATCCTCCCACCTTGGTCTCTCAAAGTGCTGGAATTACAGGTGTGCACCACCATACCTGGCCTTATTTGTTTTTTTTTAATAGAATCATCCTACTGGGTGTAAAGTGGTATCTGATTGTGGTTTGGATTTGCATTTTCCTAACAGCTCATGATATTGAACATCTTTTCAAGTGCTTATTGGCCATTTGTATACCCTCTATCAGGAAATGTCTGTTCAGTTAGCTGGACATGTCTCTTCAGTTAGCACACCTGTAGTCAAGAGGCTGAGGCAGAAGGATCACTTGAACCCAGGAGTTTGAGGCTGTTGTGAGCTATGATTGTACCACTGCACTGCAGCCTGGGCAACAGAGCCAGATCTTGTCTCTAAAAAACATATTAAAAAATGAATTGAAGAACAGAAATACCCATTTAGATCCTTAGCCAGTTTTTAAATTGGTTTGTCTTTTTATTATTTGGTTGTAAGAG